ATAAACAGCAGAAAAGATTGGGAGAGTGGAGATGGGCCAGATCTTGATGAGCTCTGCTTTCCAGGTTGAGAAGTTTAGACTTAATCTTTTGGTCAATTCAGGAAACACTGAAATTTGGAGATTTTTAAGCAGAATAGTGACATGACACACATAGTAATTTAGGGGAGCATCCTACACATCCTGTGTCTGACAAGCCTAAATTTAAGTCTGGCTCTATGGGTTGAATGATGACTGAGGTTTTGGCTGTTCATTCAGCAAGTGCTTACTGATTGCTCCATTTGCATACTTTACTAGCCACCTTGAGTGATGTACTCATGAGTAAGTATAATCTCTGACCTCAGAAAACTAGTAATGGGAGGGCCAGAAGAGTAAACATCTATGACAAAGTCAAATGCTATAATCAGAGCATCTCAGAGATTGAAAGAGGCCCAGAATATGTACATATATTTGACATCTTCAAAATTTTTTTTAAAAAATACTAAAACCCAGTTTAAATTGTGTAGTATTTAAGATATTGCATTAGTTTCATAGGGCTTCATAACAAAATACCACATACTGAGTAGCTTAAACAAGAGAAATTTATTTTCTCACAGTTCTGGAGGCTAGACGTCTAAGACTAAAGTTGGTAGGTTTGGTTTCTTCTAAGCCCTCTCTCCTAAGCTTGCAGATGGCTGCCTTTTTGCTGTGTTCTCACATTACCTTTCCTCTGTGTGTGAGCATTCTAGGTGTCTCTCTGTATGTCCAAAGAAGGACATAAGTCAGGTAGAATTACGGCCCACCTTTTTTGCCTAATTTTAACTTAATTACCTCCTTTAAGGCCCTATCTCCACATACAGTCACATTTTGAGGTACTGAGCCTTACAGCTTCAACATATGAGTTTTTTGGAGGGTACACAATTTAACACATAACAAGTGTGTACATTTAACGCGCTACTGCTTTTAACCACAGAGATAAACACAATGAGTACAACACTTCTTTTGGCATTATCATAAAAAGTCTAAATTAGAGGTCCTTTACAAATGGAAGGCTTGGGTCTGGGTCTGACTGTCATTGGCCCTATCTCTTAGAAAAGTTAAAATCTGGTTCTCTGAGATAGTATTTTTATCAATTCTGATAGGATAGTTTATGGTGAGGTAACAATTAAACCCACAAACTCCATGGTTCAACCACTGGTCATAAATCATCATGTATGGGTTGAGTGACCCTGTGGGGGAACTCTCCACCATTCTATGGCTCAGGGGTTCTAGCCTGAGAGGTCCCAATGAGAAGAGAGCATAGGGTTACTAAAAAGCTCATGTAGCAAAGGTTGGAAAATGAGGCCCACATTGTAAATAGCCTTGAAGAACAGGCAAAATGGCTGAACTCATTTAGTAGAAAAAGAAGAGCCAATGAAGGATTTTAGGCAGACAAGCTGTCAGCCTTAAGTGTATTACAATATTTATTTGCCATGGAATATTTTAAACTCAAGTATCCATTAATTAGGAAGACGAATGTAACCTCCCACTTTTTAAGAGAATAGCTAAAAAATCCTTTATTTGGATCATTCCTAGATTAGACTTTTTTGGTAGCAGATGATTACAATTTCTTAACAGTGTAAAATCTGCAGGAGAATTATTCTAAAAATTCTCTAAGTCATTTCTTGACTAGCAGCTGCACTTTGGGTAAATGCCAAGAAAAGAATAAAATGGGGTTATGAGTGACAGTGTTCGAAAAAGTATATCACATGCTTTTCTTGAAATTCTGTAGGACCTATAGTGAAAGCAGGATCATATGAGAATTTTTTTTAATGATTATAGAACGCCATATTTCATTCATTCATTCATTTTATTTATTATTTTTTTTATTTTACTTTATTTTGTCAATATACAATGTGGTTGATTACTGCGGCCCATTACCGAAACCTCCCTCCTTCCTCCCTCTCCCCCTCCCTCACAACACCTCATATCTGTTCGCTTGTCACATCAACTTCAAGGAATTGTAATTGTTGTGTCTTCCTCCCTCATCACCCCCAGTTTATTTTTGTATTTTTTAATTTATTTTTAGCTCCCACAAATAAGTGAGAACATGTGATATTTCTCTTTCTTTGCCTGACTCATTTCACTTAATATAATTCTCTCTAGGTCCATCCATGTTGTTGCAAATGGTACTATTTCATTCTTTTTTATAGCAGAGTAGTATTCCATTGTGTAGATATACCACATTTTCCATATCCACTCATCTGATGGTGGACATCTGGGCTGGTTCCAACTCTTAGCTATTGTAAAGAGTGCTGCGATGAACATTGGGGAAGAGGTATACCTTTGACTTGATGATTTCCATTCCTCTGGGTATATTCCCAGCAGTGGGATAGCTGGGTCATATGGTAGATCTATCTGCAATTATTTGAGGAACCTCCATACGATTTTCCATAGAGGCTTCATCATTTTGCAGTCCCACCAACAATGTATGAGAGTTCCTTTTTCTCTGCAAACTCACCAGCATTTATCATTCACACACAGTCTTTTGGATATTAGCCATCCTAACTGGGGTGAGATGGTATCTCAAAGTGGTCTTGATTTGCATTTCCCGAATGCTGAGTGATTTGAGCATTTTTTCATATGTGCATTGGCCCTTCATTTATCTTCCTTTGAGAAATGCCTATTTAGCTCTTTTGCTCATTTTTTAATAGGGTTACTTTTTTTTGTTGTAAAATTCTTTGAGTTCCTTGTATATGCTGGATATTAATCCTTTGTCAGACGTATATTTTGCAAATATTTTCTCCCACTCTATTGGTTGTCTTTTAACTCTGTTAATTGTTTCTATTGCTGTGCAGAAGCCTTTTAGTTTGATATAATCCCATTTACTTATTTTTCCTTTGGTTGCCTATGCTTTTGGGATCATATTCGTGAAGTCTGTGCCCAGCCCTACTTCCTAAAGTGTTTCTCCTATGTTTTCTTTAGGAAGTTTTATTGTTTCAGGGTGTATATTTAATTCTTTAATTGATTTTGAGTTGCTTTTAGTATATGGTGAGAGGTATGGGTCTAGTTTCATTCTCCTGCATATGGATATCCAGTTATCCCAGCACCATTAGATGAGAGGCAGTCTGTTCACCACTGTACAGGCTTGGTGCCTTTGTGAAAGATCAGATGGCTGTATGTGTGTGGGTTGATTTCTGGATTCTCTATTCTATCCCATTGATCAGTATGTCTGTTTTTAGGCCAGTACCATGCTGTTTTGGTTATTATAGCTTTGTAGTATATTTTAAAGTCAG